ACGCCCGCCATACAGAATGCGATAATTAAGCGACAGTCGCTATTGTAAGACATTTCATAATATTTATCAACTCTCGGCGAACAGACTTTACAAGATATCAAAGAACTGAAATGTGCTTTACGAGCGAGGGAACGGTATCAATAATAGGTTACAGAATAAACTGGATCGATGCTAATATTTAATTTTTCAGCTTCAATACATTTATTACCATGGATAAGCCACATGGAACTCATTACGGCGACCGCCCGCGCGTTTACGCGTTAGGATTTAATTTGACATTTCGTTAAACATAAACAATAACCTTGACGACAAAACACAATGCCGCGCGGTTTACTCGCTAGTTTCGAGACTGCACGCAAAATTTGAAGAAACGGCCTTAGGATCACACGGTTTGGTTTAAAATCAATATCACGCTTAACTAACCTAGACTGCATCTCACTTAACAACAGGTGCGATTGCGGTCAAATACCTGCCTTGTTATGCATAAAAAAATCACCCGCAGGCCCTCTCCTGATGGAGATGGAAACGTACCGCTACTCGGGGCACTCGATGTCGGACCCGGGCACGTCGTACCGCACGCGCGACGAGGTGCAGGAGGACCATCACCTCTTTCACTATTATTTAGCTATTTCTTCTTCTTATTTTGTTTATGGCCAGGTCTGGGATATTACAGCCCACAGAGTGAATTCCGCCAGTCACTTTCATATGCAATAGATCAAAAGCCATCACGACACAACACTCTAGTTTGATCGTTTCCATACTAAATGTATGGAACCGATTCCGATCTAAGAGCATCAACACATGCTACTTTTATTAGCATCGGAGATTTACGCCCGTATTAAAAAACGATACTTGCTTAAGTGAAGCAGCAAATCGAACGCACAGCGTTGAATAGAGCTCTGTGATTGGTTCGTGAGTCACCCTGTGTGTCCACGCATACTGTGCGACCTCATAGTAATGTTTGTGAATACGGGCGTGAGTTTGCGACTGTATCGATGCTGCATCGCGACTTTGCGACTTCATGCGTTCGGACGCGGTATCGGAATCGTGCATTCCGAAAAGCGACGCAATCGCCGCGTTTATTGTTTTTAAGTGTGCGGCGTTGAATGTGTAGTCGCTGCATTCAGCTTCTAAAAAGCTTGCTAAATTTCTATTTTTTTTATCCACAACGAGGAAGCTCTTGGCCTGTATCTCACCTGATGGTAAGTGACGATCAGGCCGAAGGTGGATGCTTGCTAAATCGCCATGACTTTCGCCCGCAGGCCCTCTGCTGATGGAGATGGAAACGTACCGCTACTCTGGGCACTCGATGTCGGACCCGGGCACGTCGTACCGCACGCGCGACGAGGTGCAAGAAGTGCGCCAGACCCGGGACCCCATCACCTCGTTCAAGGAGAAGATCCTCAGCAACGAGCTCGCCACGCCTGACCAGCTCAAGGTATATGAGATATCCCACCTTTTTATTTCAGTTTCGTCCGGTTTCCATCAAAGCGTTGCCAAGAAGTGTTGAGCCATCAAATTTGAAGTGGAAATAATGAAATCTGATTGGTTATTCAAAACACTTCCCTGCTCCGCTCCGCCTTGGTGGAATCCGGGTCTCAAGCAACTTTTCCAGTTCAATTGACAGCATTTATCTAATAATACATACCCTCAACTACGCGTAAATTTCATTTTCAACCAAATTCTTTTATTTGCCAAAAATAATATTTATCAAACACGCAAAGTTGACATCGGCGTTAAGTTTTCTGATATTATCTAATTTTCTGAGTAATTTTCTTAAACTAAGGAAATCGAGGATTGATTTGTTTATCATAAACATTTTGATGCGAATAAGATTTAGCATAGACTTACAAGACAAATGCATACCAGTGTTGCCGTAGGTACCTACATTATACCATATGAATGCGAATTCAAGTCATGCAAACTCCTATTTTATACTGTGTTTATATCAACACCCTGTATTTGCTTCAGGAAATCGACGCCCAAGTGCGCAAAGAGGTAGACGAAGCCACGAAACAAGCCAAGTCCGAGCCAGAGGTCGGCGTGGAAGAACTCTGTGGAGACATTTACTACAACAACTTGGAACACCAAATCCGAGGCATCCATCCTGGAGCGCCCTTACAACACGTCGAGGTCACCGCCCGCTCGTACAACTAACGCGCTTACTGCTTAGGAAATTAGGTCTGTTATCCATAAAGTTATACCTAGCGGAATAGAGCAATAAAGAACTGAGCGAGCGAGATGTCACTAGCAACACTGTGAGGTAAAAAGAGATGCGTGATGCCGTCGTTGCGTCAAACAGAGCCGTTCTTGCAACTATTTGACAGTTCAGAGGCGCTTAGTGGCACGGTGAAAATTTTAACTAAGATATTTTCAGATTTTACGTGAGGGACATCGTGGACGTTTATGAGAAATAGTGCTTCAGAAACGTGGTGTCTGGTTCAGTGATTAATTTATTCTACAAAAAGCTAAATAGTCCTGACACTGAGACACGAATGATATCCAGTGTCATCCAAAATCGGTTTCGTTTGACGCTCGCGGTTGTTGCTCTATTCCGAAGGAATGTTATCTTTATGGTTACCCCATACGTTCGATCGATCGAGTATGTTAACTATGTTTAGGATGTGAGTAGGTAGGGGATAGAGACCCCGCCGTGGATAAACTTGCAAAAGATAATGATTATTTAATACTTATTGTTATTATAATTGTTTATGTGTTTTGTAAAAGTCAAATTCACGGCGGGGTCTACCTGTAAAGGTATTAGTTTTCGCTCACTCAGAATTTATTGTTTTCTACAGAAGGGATTATATTATTGTACAGAACCGTAAAATAAATGTACAAATATTTATATCGACTCTATTTGTAAATCACGTTGATCACATAATTTTTGCAAATATTTTTTTGTAATGTTTTTTTAGCCAATAAGCGTAAGTGATACTGCCAGCGACGCTGTATTTTTATCCACTATGATATAGTTCTACCATATTTTTGTTTTGTCGATCATTTTATTTATATTAAGATAAATAAATTATTTATAAAGATACATTTATTTTTTATTTTGTTTCCGAAACAATAATAGATTAATATTCCGCTACAGAAAATATATTTCATGTCCATGTATCGGCGTATGCGAAATGGCGTTTGATCTGATATTATTAAAATGTAGGTATTGAAAAATAATAACGCAACCATGTAACTGTTCCAACTTTTATTTCAATAGTCATTAGTCACCTATACAACTAAATTAAATAACTTTACAATTCGAAAAACACGTTAATTACACAATAATAATATAAAAATACTATACCAACTGTTGTTTATTTGAGCATAATTTGAAATATGTGTTAAATAATGTAAATTGTGTTTGTCCTACGCTAGAAATGCTAAAAAGATGCTTTTAAATACTGAAGCAATTGTGGTTGGGATAGTTAGTATTTGAAACATAATTGTTGGTATACTCGCCCTATACATACTCGTACAGTCAGCGTCAAAGAGATTGTGACACCCAGTGGCCAAAAAGTTGACAACACAACGTTATTTCAACCGTAACAAAGACGTAGCGAACTTTTTGGCTATTTTGGGTGTCACGAACTATTTGACGCTGACTGTAAATCTAAACTAAAGCCCGGTCTCCGAGCATGTAGAATTTTGTCCAATGACCCTAAGCTACCCATCCTTATCGCTCGCGCGTAATTATGTTGCTGTTGCGCACAGTAGCGACAGCAATATAATTACGCGCGAGCGATAAGGATGGGTAGCTCGGGGTCATTGGACAAAATTCTACGTGCTCGGCGACCAGACTATATATATTTTATGTGCTTACTTTACAACTATGCATATAAGTATGGTATTCAGTTATCTTTGGCTTCGTAATAATACTTGAGCACAAGCAAGGCACAATTTCACATGCAGTAAAAATAAAGTTACAACTTTATCTTACATAAACACACTTTGAATGCGATGAAACCTTTTTAATAGCATGAAGTGCGAATAAAATATTAGTAATTAAAGTAAATGTAAACATGATTGTAAGACTAGAGGTAAAACTAATTTTATTTAGGAAACTACTAAATAAGTCTGTGCTTTTTAAATCGATTTACACATTTTTCTTACATCTTTCAATTCAAATATTCGACAAAAGCCATGGAAGTATCTAATAGCACCATGAAAAGTTAAAGAAAAAGAGAACATATAGAATATAGAACTTTCAAGCTTTTTGGTAGGTATAGCGTTGTCTCTTTCAGTTTATGTACAAAAATGATGAAGTGTGCATCTGAAATACGACATTCACTATCTGCTACCAACTCAAAAATAAAGATTTGTAAGAAAGAAAGATTGCACAGTTATGTCTTTTTTCTTTGCGTGTCTTTTAGGGGAATGTACAGGGTAGGTGGGTAAAGGGGAATGTTTGGCATTTTTGGAATAGGAATTGGTAGGTAATATAGGGAATGGCAATGGGTAAGTAAGGTATACCTATAAAACTTATTGTACTAATCTGAAATCATGTAAATTATTACTCTAATGTCAGGCACCGAGTAAAAAATAAGCGGTGATCTAAAAATACGCTATATCTACAGTCCTATGCAAGTTATTATAAACAATATTTATAAATTCCGTCACATTTAGTTAAATGTAATCAAAAGCCTATTCACTAAACCACTGCTTCTCTAACCAATTACAGAGCTGCAACGTTTTCTAAAACAACTTTTAACATAATTATGTGTGCGGTTCAAATCTTAGATGATTGCCTTTATGGACGTCCTTATTACGATCTACGACTTTTCTTAGCAACTTGATTTGATGTTTAATTTAAATTTTAAGAATAACCCACAAGCTGGCAGGCGCGGACCCAGTCCTCAAAAAGGTTGTGGGGTAAATCAGATGCGCCCATCTTGCCCATTATAGCGGGACCGCGCCTGCAAAATAGTTTAGCGTTTAAGTTTTGAATATTTTGATTTTTGACGACTTGTTGGTGTTGAATTTTATTTCACACTCATCTACGCGGCGGGGTTAACGTTCTCATCGTCTTCCTCTATAAACCCGCACTGTAACTCGTACAGCTTAGCGTATATGCCCTTCTTGGCCATGAGTTCTCTGTGCGTGCCGGTTTCAGCCACCACGCCGCGGTCGATGACGCAAATCATGTCTGCGTTCTGGATGGTGGCCAGACGGTGGGCGATGATGAGGCACGTGCGACCCTCGCTTGCACGGTCGAGGGCTTCTTGCACCACCTGTGGGAAAAAAATATAGAAGGAATGAAGAAAGACAGAAACATTTAGAGTAGGCGCACACCGTTGATTTTTCGTCGGCCGATAGTTTAGTCGGGCAGTTGATCAGTATGGGCATGTATGGGAGTGCGCACACTACGCCGATTCGATTTGGCCGATTCTTCATACAAATTAAAATCGGGCACAACTATCGGCTAACTAAAAATCAACGGTGTGCGCCTACTCTTATTACAATGAGACATCGCACAAATATAATAATTAGGGACGTTAATAAAACACATGACAGTAGTCCAAGAACACGAGGAAATTGTGTACTGAACAGTGTCCCTCTACCCTGGAGCCATCTCAATGCCTTTTGCAATACCTCACTTCCTTTTTTTCTTTCCTGCTTTTACATAATTATAACATCGAATGTAAATAAATAACAAGGGTTTACATTTACAAAGTGAGAAATAGGAGATTAGGAAACGTTATGTATAGGTATGTCACAGAAACTTGTTGAGTTTATCTATCTCATTAGCAGCTCAAAAAAAAAAACAAAAAAAAACTTTATTTGTAGCCAATTACAATTGTGCATAGACAAAAAGAAACGTTANTTTGTGTGTGTGTGTGCGTGTGTGTGTTTGTGTTCAATGTAAGGAAGTAAAAGTATAAATTGAATTTACCACGCTTTTAGAACACAATCAATTTTAATTCCACTGTAGCTACCGTTCATTGTGGAAAACCTTGGGGGAGGCCTTTGTCCAGCAGTGGACGTCATTTGGCTGAAAACGTAAACGTAAACGTACCATTACAGCTTACCTTCTCACTGTGCGTGTCTAGGGCTGAAGTGGCCTCATCCAGCAGCAAAACCCTCGGGTTTCTGACCAGCGCGCGTGCGATCGCGATCCTCTGCTTCTGTCCGCCGGACAGCTGGGACGCTCTCGCTCCCACGCGGGTTTCGTAGCCCTGCGCAAAGAAATACACCAGTTGACACATAGCAAACAATTAAAATTTTAGACATACAAGCAGAGTACATCTTTGTGGCTAAAATAGCTCTAACTACGCAATGTCTTACTTAATTATTTTTTTCTTAATCTTAAGCTTGATGTGCTGTGGCATCCGTTTACATGTACTCTTTTACTAAGAACCCAATGGACCGACTATACCTAATATCTAAATCGCAAGCTAAGATAAATCTTTCAGCGACTTGGCCCAGTTACCGGAAGAAGAAATATTGAAAAATTGAATCCGGCGACTTGACCCGTAGACCAAGCTAAAAGTGGGCCAAGTCGGAAGTCTCTAGATAAATACCGCGTCATTTATTATCTCCATTTGGTAGCGCCACTAACTTGAATAAACGTGTGCTTGTTATCCTCTTGGGCACCTTCAACTCATAGGATGTACACACGGCCACAATGTTAACTAACAATTTCCGTTTTTGCTCTCGCTCTCATCAAATGGTGATTCTTTGCGATAGAACGAGACGACATAACTGGCAATGGGTAGTTAACACTGTTGCCGATAGTACAACTTATTGTAGATATTGCTGATTTGGTCAGCTCTTCAGTGGGAAGAGGGGAGTGTGTGAGAGTGGAGGGGTTTTGTAGTGAATACACTTACCGCAGGTAGCGCAGCAATAAACGAGTGGACGTTAGCCGCCTTGGCCGCTACGACTATCTCTTCAATAGGCACGATGCGCGTATTGTCTCCGTACGCGATGTTCTCTGCGATGCTTCTGTCGAAGAGCACCGGCTCCTGCGATACGATGCCGAGGTTGCGTCGTAGCGTCGTGAGACGCATGTCCAACATCGTGTTGTAGTCGTCCAGATACTGGAAAAGAGGTTTTATGGTTGTAACAAGAAGGGTACCTAGTTGTAATGCATTCTATACTATGGAGTAAGACTAAAGAAGAAACTCTAAACACAAGGGCTGCCACAATAGATCAAACCTGGTCGAGCTGGCGCAAATGAAGGCCCAAAAAAACAATAAGACTTTGAAAATAACGGAGGCTATCAACATCAACAAGTGACTCTAGCCTGCAGAATTGCTAAAATCAAGTGGCATAGCTCGCAGAGCATCAGCTCGCGGAGCTGCCATCAGGCCTTTGGGTCAGAAAAGTTCCCGAAAGGCAACCTCGGGCCTGAAGATGGAGCAGGGTCAGGCCCCCCACTAGGTGGACCGACGATCTGATGAAGATCGCGGGACGTGCAGGGATGCGAGCAGTGCAGCACCGGTCGTTGTGGAAATCCGTGAAGCCTTTTTCCAGCAGTGGACGTCAATTAGCTGAAAAGAACGAACGAATGAAGGCAACTCTCAACTATTAAAGATCTCAACTCACCACAGTCCCGTCGTCAAATCAAATCAAATAAGTTTATTTGCAGACCAAAATGTCATGATAATACAGGTATACAGTATCTGAGTCAGTTCCAATTATGTTCTACCGGGGATTGTACCGGTGTGCAAATGTAATATAATAATAATTGACTGATTAAATTAATTAAGAATATAAAAATTACTACAATTATGATCACAATGTCAAATTTTAATACCTACTCAAATAATAAATGTCAAATAATCGTTAATTATCATTAAAATACTCGTCAATACTGTAATAACATTTGTCAAGAAGCCATTTAAGTATTTATGTTATTTTTGAAAACCCTAAGAGGCAAATCTTTAAAATTATTAGGCAGTTTATTGAATATTTTGATCGCCATTAAAGGAGCGTTGCTTGCATAAAAATGTGAGTTGCATTTCGGGTAAAATAATGTATTTTTATGCCTTGTGTGCCTCTCTAGAGATTCAGCATGAGTATTAAAATAGCTGGGATATCGTTTTACAAAAGTACAAATTTCTCGGACATACATACACGGCAAAGGTAATACACGTATTCTTTGAAATCGTCAGGATCATACAGCCGCTGCAGCAGCTGTATCAACGTAGACTTACCACATCCACTCGGGCCCACGAGCGCTATCCGTTTACCGCTCGGTATCGCGAGCGAGAGACTCCCATATATCAAATACGTAACATTTATCAAACTATCCAAGATTAACTCACCACAGTCCCGTCGTCAGGGTCATACAGCCGCTGCAGCAGCTGTATCAAGGTGGACTTGCCGCACCCGCTCGGGCCCACGAGCGCTATCCGCTTCCCGCTCGGTAACGCGAGCGAGGCTCCCATATACCAAGTACGTAAGATTAATAACTATCCAAGATCTAACTCACCACAGTCCCGTCGTCAGGGTCATACAGCCGCTGCAGCAGCTGTATCAAGGTCGACTTACCGCACCCGCTCGGGCCCACGAGCGCTATCCGTTTGCCGCTCGGTATAGCGAGCGAGAGACTCCCACATACTACTTACGTAAGATTACTCAAACTATCCAAGATCTATGCGCTTGCCGCTTGGTATCGCAGGCGAGTGACTCCCATATACCGAGTATGTAAGATTACTCAAACTATCCAAGATTAACTCACCACAGTCCCGTCGTCAGGGTCATACAGCCGCTGCAGCAGCTGTATCAAGGTCGACTTGCCGCACCCGCTCGGGCCCACGAGCGCTATCCGCTTCCCGCTCGGTATTGCGAGCGAGAGACCACGTAACACCTCCACTTCCCTCCTAGTGGGGTAGCGGAACTTGACGTTCTTGTATTGGATCTTGCCTTCTGCCACCTGAGAATACAAGAAGTATTATTATTAAGCATATTTATAACTTAAAAATATTGGTTTTGGTAAAGTCAAGGGTTCTTCTTTTAACAACGTGACATGAGGCATGATGCGAATGCGACGCATGATCATAGACCGCGTCTGAGCTCTGTCTCAATATCATTTAGAATGAGCGTCCCAAAAACCGACAGGATATTAGGATAGGTAGGTAGTCGTAGTAACGCGATACGGGCCTTTATGTAGCCTTGCTCGATGTAAACCTAGAGTAGAACTTAGAGCCATGGGGCAAGCCCGAGACGCTATAAGAACTGCGCTGGTATAGCAGTTTCTCAAATTCATTATACTGCTGGGTCAGGGTATAACCTGTGGTATAACAGAGCGCTTTGTACATGCGCGTGGCATTTGCTCAGCTTTTCACGACTTCAATAAATACAGAAAATTACAGGTGGCAATTTTCTAAAATTGCACAAAACCTTGAAAATCTTGAAATCGGTGATATTTTTACAGGGGTCAAAAATGGACGTTAGGGAGATCATGGCGAGGCCTATCGATGGTTACAGGGTTATCCATTGTTTTTGGGACACCCTGTACAATTATATAATGCAATTTGTATCAAATAATCTGTTGTCAAATAAGTTGTTCAAGTTCATCCTATCATATCTTAGAATGATACTCACGAATCCTTCAGGCACGGATGGTGTGAGCGTGCTCTCCACCTTAGGCTTCCTCGCCAGCTGTGTTAACACGCGTCCCGCCGCGCTGACGGCCGCGCCGAAGTTAGGCGCGAACGCTAAGCCTGGCCCATCATCCAAGCGCCGAATACTAGCGCTTCTGACACTCTGGAAGGGAGGGAGTAATGAAAAAGAGCTGCAAATGAAAATACTATCGGCCTAGATTGCGACTTTTGATATTTAAATTGCAAAACGAGAAAAAAACTGAAAGTTTAATACATTAATTTGGAAAAAATTGAGCCCGAAAACTATATGAACATTTGACAATGTCAAAAGTGTCATCAGAGAATAGAACCCCGAAACTCTGAAGCTCTTAATGAAATTGAGTCTTATCAAGTTTCAATCAAGAGACGTCCGCAGATAGACAAAGGCCTTCCCTGAGTATTTCCACAACGACCACCTGCGCTGCTTGCATTGTGGTGTTTCTCGCGACCTTCACCAATCCTCGATCCACTGAGTTTGAAGCCTGCCAACATTGAGGTTTCCGGTCCGTGGTCGTGGTCATGGTGGTGGAAATGGAGCCTCTTACAGAGTGAATAGTAGAAAGGAGAACACGTAGCCGCGCCAGCGAGGCTGCTGCGAGCCCGACTAATGATGACGTCACTCACTTGATGACGTCCTTGTAGGGCACCTCCCTGTTGGCCACCAGGACGCCTCCGTACCACAGCGACAGCGCGTAGCCGGCGACGGGCGCGGTCTGCCCGAAGGAGAACACGCAGCCTCGCCAGCGGAGGCTGCTGCGAGCTGTCTTGCGAGCGGCCAGGCCTGCCTTGTGGTAGCGTTCGAGGACGCCTTGCTCGCCACCTGTGGGACAGCCAGGAAATTAGTTTATTCTTATCCCCTGCCTACTGCCTTGGGACTATTCAACTTCTGAGAAAAAGCAGCGCAAGATACTTAATTATGCTCGTTTTCACCATCAATCCCTAAGTGACCCCTAGGTAACACATAACAGGAATTTTGTTTTGGACTGAAAACGGGCATTAGTCATTTACAGTCAGCCTCTTTTTCTAACAATGTTATGACAACGCGTAATAATCGCTTGATGAGTTTATAACTTATACAGGTTGTCCAAAAAAGCGAGCTAAATAATATGAGAAAAGATAGACTGACCAATGAGACTGAAAGAAGAAAAAAGTGCTATTTCTTGCGTGACCATATAAGAATCGAAGGAATGTAGGAACTTACAGAAGACAGACACAGTCCTGATATTAGTGATGGCCTCAGTGGCTATGGTGTTGGCCTTATCCGATGCCTGCCTCACGGCTTCTATACCAGCAGCTATGACCCTTTCTTCGAGTACTATAACTACTATTATCTATGTCATTAACCAAGGATCAAATAAATGCCATGTACTTACAGAAAGCAGACACAGTCCTGATGTTGGTAATCGCCTCAGTGGCGATAGTGTTGGCTTTATCCGACGCCTGCCTCACGGCTTCTATGCCGGCCGCTATGACTCTGCCTTCAAGCACCACCGCCACTATGACCATAGGCACTGACACTAGAGACACTAGCGTCATCTTCCAAGTGTAGAACATGGATAGGATTTTGATATTACCTTTATCACTATCCATGGATCAAATAGTGCTATGACTTTTGAAATTGCAGTCTGTTTCTATGTCCCTATTTGCAAACACTATGGTTATGTTACGTCACTATAAAAGGGCCGAAAGAGTGTGTAGGTACTTACAGAAGGCAGACACAGTCCTGATGTTAGTAATCGCCTCAGTGGCGATAGTGTTGGCCTTATCCGACGGCTGCCTTACGGCTTCTATACCAGCAGCTATGACCCTGTCTTCGAGCACTATAGCTGCTTTTTACCTATGTCCATAACCAAGGATCAAATAAATGCTGTGTACTTACAGAAGGCAGACACAGTCCTGATGTTAGTAATCGCCTCAGTGGCAATAGTGTTGGCTTTATCCGACGCCTGTCTCACGGCTTCTATGCCGGCCGCTATGACTCTGCCTTCAAGCACCACCGCCACTATGACCATAGGCACCGACACTAGAGACACTAGCGTCATCTTCCAAGTGGAGAACATGGATAGGAGTTTTCATATTACCTTTATCACTATCCATGGATCAAATAGTGCTATGACTTTTGTGATTGCAGTCTCTGTGTCTATGACCTGCCTTCAAACTCTATGACTGTTATTTCTTGCGTCACTAATCACTTTACAAGGATCATCGGAAAAGTGTATATGCCAACCGCTATGACCCTGCCTTAGAGCACTATAGCTGCTATAACCTATGTCATGAAGGATCAAATTGGTGCATTAATCTGCATTATACTTACAGAAGGCAGACACAGTCCTGATGTTAGTAATCGCCTCAGTAGCTATAGTGTTGGCTTTATCCGACGCCTGCCTCACGGCTTCTATGCCGGCCGCTATGACTCTGCCTTCAAGCACCACCGCCACTATGACCATAGGCACTGACACTAGAGAGACTAGCGTCATCTTCCAAGTGTAGAACATGGATAGGAATTTTGATATTACCTTTATCACTATCCATGGATCAAATACAGGCCAAGAGCTTCCTCGTTGTGGATAAAAAAAAACTATGACTTTAGTAATTGCAGTCTCTGTGTCTATGACCCGCCTTCAAACTCTATGACTGCTATTTCTTGCGTCACTAATCACTATACAAGGATCGTAAGTGTGTGTAGGTACTCACAGAAGGCAGACACAGTCCTGATGTTAGTAATCGCCTCAGTGGCGATAGTGTTGGCTTTATCCGACGCCTGTCTCACGGCTTCTATGCCGGCTGCTATGACTCTGCCTTCAAGCACCACCGCCACTATGACCATAGGCACCGACACTAGAGACACTAGCGTCATCTTCCAAGTGTAGAACATGGATAGGGAGATGCCGATCACTATTGTCGCTCCCGCTTGCATTAGAGCGCCGATTCGGGTGCCGGTTGCCTGTTTAGGGTAAAATAATGTTGTAGTAAGATGTTGGGATCTTAAAATGCAATTAAAACCGTAACTATAACCTTAACCGTTGTTTTTTGTATGGTATGTGATTTGACAGACTAATGTGGCAAAGCATTAGTTAGAGTATACAAATATGCTAATGAATTTTATTGGAATCAATATAAATATAATATTATGTAATCAATCGACATTATTTTATGATCAATTGTAATTTGCATGCTAACTGACATTAGCTAAATAGGAATGCACTTTTAATAAAATACCAACACCACTTATGTATTTACCCTATTTTTTAGATAAAACCCAAATAAATAATTTGAATTTGAATTTGAGTATTGAGTATTGACATTTGACGTTTGCTAAAATGGTGCAATGAGGGTTTTCAAGAATGAAAGATCCGCTAGATGGCGGGACGTGGATGTGGGGTCTGACTGCTGCGTGATTGGTGGATTTTGACATATCTGTCAATGTCATGTCAAAAATAACCAATCATGCAGCATTTGGACCTCGCGTCTACGTATTGCCATCTGGCGGATTTTTCATTCGCGAAAACCCTCATTGGTTTACGCCAGTAATGGAAATACTATGGAAATGTCACTTTAAACCATTGTTCAAAGAGCGTTTAACTTTCTTGTTGACAATCTTATGATAAACATCATAATAACGGACTACAGAGAAGCCTCTAACTTACACCTTGGACAGCCGCCGCGTCGGCCGCCAGCCGCGAGCAAAGTGCACCGATGCCGTTGATGGGGTCGTCGAACCATCCGATTTCTTGCTTCAGCATGTTGCTGAATGTGGCCACCCTGTATACAAGGATATTTTATATTAGATGGACTCGAGACATCGATAATATCGTTAGAAAGATGGGTCGAAATGTTATAAATGAAAAGGACTTTCTAACTTTTTGTTACCTTTCCTTACCTATGCCAACTTAATATAATTTTAAGAATAGACATGGATAGACAGAATAGACATGGATAGACAGAATAGACATGCTGGCGCGATCATACATAGGCCAATGACAGGTCACGCAACCTTCGCGGAATCTTTTCACAAAACTGTTTTCATTAGGGGATGCGCATACCATAACTTCTAAATAAAGAATTCATTTCGATATAAAGATACTGAAACATATCAGTTGCTATAATATACCTAAGCCTTGCCGTGAGCCGCACGCCAGTCAAATTGAAGATGAATATTTGGAAGAAGATTCCGACGCCTGTGAGTACGCCCACTATCAGAAACAATATAGCGATTATGTTGGTCTGCCCGCGGACCCAGTTTTCATCGGAACTTTGGAGAAGCTGGAAGAGAAATAAAAATAGTTTAAAGATTTTGAAAAATAGTAGCAGAAAAACACAAAACTTCTCCATAAAACCTGTACTAAAGAAGGCAGATACATACTAAGAGTCGCCGCTGTCTACAGAATTTTTATCGCCCTATAGTTTGGTTGGGCTCTTAATCAGCATGAACATGAAAGTAGGTACGCATCGATTTGCACTGCACCGATTTGGTATCAGCCGATTCCTCATACAAATTAGATGTCGACCAAACTATCGGTCTATCGGATAGTTTGGTTTTTAATTTTGGCAAGGAACCCGTTTTCACAACCAATCCCTAATTTTTAAGTGACCCCTATGGTAACACATAACAGGATTTTTTTTTTATAGGGGACACTTAAAAATTAGGGATTGATGGTGAAAACGGGCATTAGCGTATTACACAATGACAGTTGGTAGCCCATGCAAGGAACTGGTATGCAAGTGTACCAGCATATTACTATCTTTATGGATCCATACTTACACCATAAGTTTCACCGAACAACACAGCGAACATTGGGAAAGATGCTCCTACAGCTATCGCGGCCAGGACTCCAATGATCATCAGGTACTTCTCCGGTTCACACAACTTCATGATCTGCCAAGTCGTGGGCTGCATCTCTGGTGGTTCCTTTTCTTCCATAACTACGCTCTCTTCTGAGGCAGAGTCTTCTTCTGACGTACTCTTCATGGATTCCACTGATGCCAGTTTCTGTAGCTTCGGACGGTGCATCTTGGCATCTAAAGACAAAAGTGTTTCTCTTTAGATAAAGCTTCGTCTAGAAATCTTGCAACCTTTGGAATATTCTTCATTCTCATTAAAGGTTTAGCGCTTCACTGAGACAGTGCCTGAGGTATGAGAGCACGGAAGGGGTGACATTGACATGACAGAGCATATAAATCTGAAAGAGATCTGAAGTGTCGCTGATGTATGACGCATTGACGTCTCAAAAACACCCTTGCGTGCTGCTTCCATACCTCAGGTACTTAGTTAAACGATATACCTATAGTTTCCACTACGCAAGACTATAATTTCCAAAAAAAACAATGGTAGTATATGGGAGGAATCGCACAAATACATTTCAGTCATTGCAAAATGCACCTTAAGACTAAAAACTTACGTTTCTCAATATCCGTAGAAGGCACAGGCCCGATGCTCGGCTCGTTTTCCATGACGAGCTGGTAGTACCGGCCCTTCTGTTTCAGCAGATCATCGTGCGTCCCCTCCTCTATGACTTCGCCCTTGTCAATGAACACGATACGATTCGCGTTCAGTACCGTCGCTAGCCTATGGCAAATGTTTAGGATTTAGAAGCTGTATATTTCGTAAAAAAGATATTAAGAGCATAGCTTCAACCAAAATACTAACGGAAGACTTTTAATAAAACTACTATCAGTTTTGCGCGTGGGTTCGATCTCTCGATAAAGTTTTCTCCCACCGTTTCTTAACATAAGTACGAGTACATCGATTTCATATTGCCTTCCAAAATTACGTGAATATAGAAGAAAGTATAAAAGAAGAATGCAACATACATAGATTTTTAGTTGAAACATAGTACTTTCTTCCATATTTGCTAAGTGCAAATCTAAGGTAGGTAAGTAAGTAGGTACTGTCAAAAAGAGTGGGAGAAAAGTCACGTTCTCCCATATTTATCTATTTAACTTCTCATATATCTAACTACAAATTTTAATGTAATTTTGCCGTCTCAAAAAAGGAGATAACTACTTGGTGTAGTTTAAAAGAAGCTTCAATTATCTGGCTAGAGGTTAATCGATTTGGCATTAAAATGAATCGATACCAGCACAATCGATCGCGGCCACTATGCTATCATATCTACCTGTGGCTCACCATAACGGTGGTTCTGCCGTGTGCTGCCGCATCCAAGGCCCTCTGGACCTTGGCTTCGCTATGGGAATCCAACGCTGATGTAGCCTCATCCAGGAGCAGGATCTTGGGCCTTCGGACCAAAGCCCTAGCAATGGCTATGCGTTGCTTCTGACCGCCTGATAGCTGAGCGCCTCGCTCTCCGATCAGTGTATCGTAGCCCTGTTNGGGCACCTCCCTGTTGGCCACCAGGACGCCGCCGTACCACAGCGACAGCGCGTAGCCGGCGACGGGCGCGGTCTGCCCGAAGGAGAACACGCAGCCGCGCCAGCGAGGCTGCTGCGAGCCTCACGAGTGTCGCTGATGATGACGCACTCACTTGATGACGTCCTTGTAGGGCACCTCCCTGTTGGCCACCAGGACGCCTCCGTACCACAGCGACAGCGCGTAGCCGGCGACGGGCGCGGTCTGCCCGAAGGAGAACACACAGCCGCGCCAGCGGAGGCTGCTGCGAGCCCAACTAATGATGACGTCACTCACTTGATGACGTCCTTGTAGGGCACCTCCCGGTTGGCCACCAGGACGCCTCCGTACCACAGCGACAGCGCGTAGCCGGCGACGGGCGCGGTCTGCCCGAAGGAGAACACGCAGCCGCGCCAGCGGAGGCTGCTGCGAGCTGTTTTGCGAGCGGCCAGGCCTGCTTTGTGGTAGCGTTCGAGGACGCCTTGCTCGCCACCTGTGAGAACAGCCAAGAGTTTAAACCGGGGATTCAAATAAATAACTGTGTTTTCTCAGAAGTCGCCCTATTACCTATGGTATTACATTTTCCAACCTTTTTTTTTTCAGTCACTGTTGTCAGCCTCTTTTTTCAACGAATCTGATGATGAGCTTTCTTGATGAAAATTTACTCATATCCATAGTGCTACCTTCTAATTGCTTGCCTTCAAATTCTATGGTTGCTATTTCTTGCGTCACTATACATATTATAAGGATTGAAAGTGTTTAGCTAGGTACTTACAGATGCTGGACGCAGGCCGCTACCAACCGGGTAACATGGAAAGCATTGGGGGAGGAATATGTTCAGCAGTGGACGTCCTATGGCTGAGATTATGATGATGATGATGAGGTACTTACAGAAGGCAGACACAGTCCTGATGTTAGTAATCGCCTCAGTAGCTATAGTGTTGGCTTTATCCGACGCCTGCCTCACGGCTTCTATGCCGGCCGCTATGATCCTGAGCACTATAGCTACTATTATCTATGTCATTAACCAAGAATCAAATAAATGCTGTGTACTTACAGAAGGCAGACACAGTCCTGATGTTAGTGATCGCCTCAGTGGCGATAGTGTTGGCTTTATCCGACGCCTGCCTCACGGCTTCTATGCCGGCCGCTATGACTCTGCCCTCAAGCACCACCGCCACTATGACCATAGGCACTGACACTAGAGACACTAGCGTCATCTTCCAAGTGTAGAACATGGATAAGAGTTTTCATATTACCTTTATCACTATCCATGGATCAAATACAGGCCAAGAGCTTCCTCGTTGTGGATAAAAAAATACTTTGACTTTAGTAATTGCAGTTTCTGTGTCTATGACCCGCCTTAAAACTCTATGACTGTTATTTCTTGCGTCACTAATCACTATAAAAGGATCATCGGAAGAGTGTGTAGGTACTTACAGAAGGCAGACACAGTCCTGATGTTAGTAATCGCCTCAGTAGCTATATTGTTGGCTTTATCCGACGCCTGCCTCACGGCTTCTATGCCGGCCGCTATGACCCTGCCCTCGAGCACCACCGCCACTATGACCATAGGCACCGACACTAGAGAGACTAGCGTCATCTTCCAAGTGTAGAACATGGATAGGAATTTTCATATTACCTTTATCACTACCCATAGATTAAATAGTGCTATGACTTGAAATTGCAGTCTCTGTGTCTATGACCCGCCTTAAAACTCTATGACTGTTATTTCTTGCGTCACTAATCACTATACAAGGATCATCGGAAAAGTGTGTATGCCAACCGCTATGATAGCCTGCCTTAAAACACTATAGCTGCTATTACCTATGTCATTAAGGATCAAATTGGTGCATTATACTTACAGAAGGCAGACACAGTCCTGATGTTAGTAATCGCCTCAGTGGCGATAGTGTTGGCCTTATCTGACGCCTGCCTCACGGCTTCTATGCCGGCCGCTATGACTCTAGTAGTAGTGTGTAGTGTAGAACATGGATAAGAGTTTTGATATTACCTTTATCACTATCTATGGATCAAACAGTGCTATGACTTGAAATTGCAGTCTCTGTGTCTATGAAACGCCTTCAAACTCTTATGACTGTTATTTCTTGCGTCACTAATCACTACACAAGGATCATCGAAAAAGTGTGTATGCCAACCGCTATGACCCTGCCTTAGAGCACTATAGCTGCTATTACCTATGTCATTAAGGATCAAAATGGTGCATTATACTTACAGAAGGCAGACACAGTCCTGATGTTAGTAATCGCCTCAGTAGCAATAGTGTTGGCCTTATCCGACGCCTGCCTCACGGCTTCTATGCCGGCCGCTATGACTCTGCCTTCAAGCACCACCGCCACTATGACCATAGGCACTGACACTAGAGACACTAGCGTCATTTTCCAAGTGTAGAACATGGATAGGGAGATGCCGATCACTATGGTCGCTCCCGCTTGCATTAGAGCGCCGATTCGGGTGCCGGTTGCCTGTTTAGGGTAAAATAATGTTGTAGTAAAGGGTAAAATAATGTTGTGACAAAGCATTAGGGTATTGACTATTGACTTTTGACGTTTGTTAAGATGATGCAACTGGGTTACACCATCAATGGAAATACTCTGGAAATGTCACTTTAAACCAGTGTTCAAAGCGCGTTTAACTTTCTTGTTGACAATGTTATGATAAATAAACATCATATTAACGGACTACAGAGAATCCTCTAACTTACACCTTGAACAGCCGCCGCGTCGGCCGCCAGCCGCGAGCAAAGTGCACCGATGCCGTTGATCGGGTCGTCGAACCATCCGATTTCTTGCTTCAGCATGTTGCTGAATGTGGCCACCCTGTATACCAGGATATTTTATATTAGATGGACTCTAGACATCGATAGTAAGATGGGTCGAAATGTTATAAATGAGAAGGACTTTCTAACTTTTTGTTACCTTTCCTTACCTATGCAAACTTGATATAATTTTAAGAATAGACATGCTGGCGCGATCATACATAGGCCAATGACAGGTCGCGCGACCTTCGCGGAATCTTTTCACAAAACTGTTTTGATTAGGGGATGCGCATACCATAACTTCTAAATAAAGATGATTTTCTATCCACAACGAGGAAGCTCTTGGCTTGTATCTCACCTGATGGTAAGTGACGATCAGGCCGAAGGTGGAAGCGAGCTTCACCCGGAATCCTCAACCACGGACGACACAACAATGCCGTGACAATGCTGTTAACATTGTTGTTATGGCGACATACTTATTTAAAATGGTGGTAGCTAGCCAGGCGGACTAAGAACAAGCCCTACCACCCACCAAACCGAACAGAAAAATCTGCCCCCACGGGGAATCGAACCCGGGACCTCTGCGTCTGAAACAGGTGGTCTTACCACAAAACCACAGAGGCGGTTAATTCATTTCGATATAAAGATACTGATACATAATATAATGTGCTGTCTCTCAGCGGTTCTACTATACGGACGTAAAGTACTTCAACTTACCTAAGCCTTGCCGTGAGCCGCACGCCCGTCAAATTGAAGATGAATATTTGGAAGAATATTCCGACGCCTGTGAGTACGCCCACTATCAGAAACAATATAGCGATTATGTTGGTCTGCCCGCGGACCCAGTTTTCGTCGGAACTTTGGAGAAGCTGGAAGAGAAATAAAAATAGTAGCAGAAAAACACAAAACTTCTCCACAAAACCTGTACTAAAGAAGGCAGATACATACTAAGAGTCACCGCTGTCTACAGAATTTTTATCCCCCTATAGTTTGGTTGGGCTCTTAATCAGTATGAATAAACACGAAAGTAGGTACGCATCGATTTGCACTGCACCGATTTGGTATCAGCCGATTCCTCATACAAATTAGATGTCGATCAAACTATCGGCTGACAAAAAGTTTGTAGTCTGCAAGGAGTCCTAAGGTGGGTTGCGCCACCTAACATTGACCGTAACTATAACGATAACCGGTGTTTTTGTATGGAGTTTGTCAGATTTTTAAAGTTTGTCAAAGTTAAAGTAAGATGGTGCAACCCAGCCTTAGCATATAAAGATGACCCAAACTGAAATGTCCCACCAAACTCATTGACAGAGGGGCACCACCATCGTTCAACTATACAGGGTGGAAACGTTAAGTGATCTCACTCGATTATTTCTAAACTATACAAGATATCGAAAAACTGGTTACTGATCCTGAAAGTGCTTCACGAGCTCTTTCAAACGGCATCAGTAGTAGTTTACAGAATTAACTGGATCTATCCGAAAATTCAATGTTTTCAGCCTCCATACTAAATGTATGCCAGCCACACAATATTAGAAGTGTTAAATGTTCTTAAAAAGTAATAAACACTTAAAATGAACTCTTAATGCATTTTTATTTAAAATTATTCATGGAAAACATCGGTTTCAGGCTTTATTTGCTAAAATATTATCAAGATATGAGTGCCATGACTGTGGCAGTACTAAATGTATGGAACCTGGAAACATTGAATTTTCGGATAGCTCCAGTTTATTTTGTAACTTATTATTGGTACCGTTGGATAGAGCTCGTGAAGCACTTTCAGGATCAATAACCAGTTTTTGGATGTCTTGCATAATTTTTAATATTATTGGTTTTACTAAACGTATGGAAGCTGGAAACATTGAATTTTCGGATAGACATAATTTATTTTGTAACCTATTATTGGTACCGTTGGATAGAGCTCGTAAAGCACTTTCAGGATCACCAGTTTTTGGATATCTTGTATAGTTTAGAAATAATCGAGTGAGATCACTTATCGTTTCCACCCTGTATAGTTTTCAACATGACAAAAATCGGAACCGCTGTCAATGTTACAGATAGGACAGTTCAGTATATTGGGTCTTTAACACAATGACAGTTCAGTGAACTGGTATGCAAGTGTACCAGTTACTGACATGTGTATCGCCGTCTTTATGGATCCATACTTACACCATAAGTTTCGCCGAACAACACAGCGAACATTGGAAAAGATGCTCCTACAGCTATCGCGGCCAGGACTCCAATAATCATCAGGTACTTCTCCGGTTCACACAGTTTCATGATCTGCCAAGTCGTGGGCTGCATCTCCGGTGGTTCCTTCTCTTCCATAACTACGCTTTCTTCTGACGCAGAGTCTTCTTCTGACGTACTCTTCATGGATTCCACTGATGCCAGTTTCTGTAGCTTCGGACGGTGCATCTTGGCATCTAAAGACAAAAGTGTTTCTCTTTAGATAAAGCTTCGTCTAGAAATCTTGCAACCTTTGGAATATTCTTCATTCTCATTAAAGGTTTAGCGCTTCACTGAGACAGTGCCTGAGGTATGAGAGCACGGGAGGGGTGACATTGACATGACAGAGCATACAAATCTGAAGAGGTCTGAAGTGTCACTGATGTATGACTCTCAAAAACACCATCGCATGCTGCTTCCATACCTCAGGTACTTAGTTAAACGATATACCTATAGTTTCCACTACGCAAGACTATAATTTCCCAAAAACAATGGGAGTTTATGGGAGGAATCGCACAAATACATTTCAGTCATTGCAAAATGCACCTTAAGACTAAAAACTTACGTTTCTCAATATCCGTAGAAGGCACAGGGCCTATGCTCGGCTCGTTTTCCATGACGAGCTGGTAGTACCGGCCCTTCTGCTTCAGCAGGTCATCGTGCGTCCCCTCCTCTATGACTTCGCCCTTGTCAATGAACACGATACGATTCGCGTTCAGTACCGTCGCTAGCCTATGGAAATGTTTGGGATTTAGAAGCTGTATATTTCGTAAAGATATTAAGAGCATAGCTTCAGTCAAAATACTAACGGAAGACTTTTAATAAAACTACTATCAGTTTCGCGCGTGGGTTCGATCCCTCGATAAAGTTTTCTCCCACCCTTTCATCACATGGGTACATCGATTTCATATTACTTGTACCTTCTAAAATTATGAATGTATGTGTAACACACGTTCTTCCATATTTGCTAAGGTCAAATGTATGGTACTGTCAAAAAGAGTGGGAGAAAAGACTCATTCTTGCATTTAGCGTAATATGCAAACGTAAGTTTGCCGTCTCAAAAAAGGATATAAATACATTGTCCTCCTCAAAAGAAGTTCCATGATCTGGTTAGAAGTTAAATCGATTTGGCATCAAAATGATTCGATACCAGCACAATCGATCGCGGCCACTATGCTATCATATCTACCTGTGGCTCACCATAACGGTGGTTCTGCCGTGTGCTGCTGCATCCAAGGCCCTCTGCACCTTGGCTTCGCTGTGGGAATCCAACGCTGATGTAGCCTCATCCAGGAGTAGGATCTTTGGCCTTCGGACCAAAGCCCTGGCGATGGCTATGCGTTGCTTCTGACCGCCTGATAGCTGGGCGCCTCGCTCTCCGATCAGTGTGTCGTAGCCCTGTTTAAGAAAAGACAAACTATGGAGTCCCTCACCAGTTCAGATAAGCTAAATGTAAGCTAGTGTTAGATGTGGGTATACCACAATATCTATGTATAGGAGCGGCTCCCAAATCGAAAGTTTGATGATAAAACTGTGACTGTTGTCATCTCAAGAGTGCATAAAAATGAAAGGGTTCTATAAGTAAAAATTTGTTGCTAGATCCATGAAATGGTAATGTTACATGTAAGTACTATAATGCAGTTACGTGCCTAATACTCACATCGGGTAGTTTCTGAATGAAGGTGTGGCAGTAAGCCTGTTTTGAGGCGATTATAATTTCTTCATCGGTACACGATGGGTTGCTCATCCTACAAATAAAAATGAAAAATATTTTAAATATTTGAAAATAAAATCGCCGTTGCCCAATCCCCTCTTCCTTTTATTAATGCCAACCACCACCCTGGCGGCAAACTCGAAGGGGGCAGATGTTACTAATAGAGGTGCTATTTACCACGGTGTTCGTAGACGACTCAGTGCCAACCGACACCCTGGTGGCAAGCTCAAAAGTGGTAGATGGGAATAAAGGTTCTCTTTCCCTTTTCAGTACATGCCACACAGTGCTCGTGAATAGCCTGATACCTCCCTAAGATATCAGTCATCACGTTTTACAGTATTTTGCCACGTTTAGTGCCAACACCGGCTGTTGACATACCAGGGTAAAATGTCTCCGTAAGACTCATGTTAATCAATATTAGCTCTCTCCCCCTGTAATTAATACACACAGCCAAAAGTAGACCCATGCTCACCGTATATTGTCTCGTATAGTCCCGCAAACAGCACTGGTTCTTGCCGCTATATGATACCTAAGATGTCGCACGTTCATCTCCCTCAAGTCATGTCCCCCCGCCAACACCCCTCCTTGATCCGGGTCATACATCCTCTGAAGCAGTTGTAGGACCGTCGACTTCCTACTACCGCTGGTTTCTTTAGTACTCACCGTATATTGTTTCGTATAGTCCCCGCAAACAGCACTGGTTCTTGCCCCACCACAGCTATATGATCCCTAAGATGTCGCACGTTCATCTCCCTCAAGTCATGTCCTCCAGCCAACACGCCCCCTTGATCCGGGTCATACGTCCTCCCACACCTTTTCTCCTTGTAAAAAAGTCTAAAGCAGACCTTATAATTATAATAATTATTGTCTCGTATAGTCCCCGCAAACAGCACGGNTTGGATAGACTATAGTGCTAAATACAAGGAGTGGGTTCACCACAATGTTGATAGAGTTTGAACTAGTGACTCTCAAATCGACAATCAGATGTCAAAACCATGGCTATGTCGCCGCCATAAATATTATATTATATTACCGTGCCTAATACTCACATCGGGTAGTTTCTGAATGAAGGTGTGGCAGTAAGCCTGTTTTGAGGCGATAATAATTTCTTCATCGGTACACGATGGGTTGCTCATCCTACAAATAAAAGTGAAAAATATTTTAAATAAGTATGTGGAAACCTCTATTTCCTCCCCTTTCATTCTTCCAGAATATATCCCTTCCTCCTTTTTATTTCCCCTTTCAGTAGCTATATCGTATACGTCTCATACAGTGCTCACGGACAGATCACAAGCTCCTAATGCTTTGGTGATATCTCATGTATAATGACAAACAACATAGGCTCTTGACATACGGCAAAATCTCCCCTTAAATGACGCGTGTTAATCAATATCAACCCCTTCTCCAAGTAGAGAGTACAAAAAGTTTTAAGTAGACCATCTCCGTAAGTGACCCATATTGTAAAGAGTAGCAAGTAGCAGCCAAAAGTAGACCCATACTTACCGTATATTGTCTCGTATAGTCCCCGCAAACAGCACGGGTTCTTGCCCCACCACAGCTATATGGTCCCTAAGATGTCGCACGTTCATCTCCCTCAAGTCATGCCCCCCAGCCATCACCCCCCCTTGATCCGGATCATACATCCTCTGAAGCAGTTGTAGGACCGTCGACTTCCCACTACCGCTGGTTTCTTTAGTACTCACCGTATCATCATCATCATTTCAGGACGTCCACTGCTGAACATAGGCCTCCCCCAATGCTCTCCACGTTGATCGATTGGTAGCGGCCTGCGTCCAGCGCTTCCCTGCTACCTTTACGATGTCGTCGGTCCACCTTGTAGGTGGACGTCCCACGCTGCGTTTTCCGGTACGTGGCATCCATTCCAGAACCTTGCTGCCCCATCGGCCGTCAGTTCTGCGTACTATGTGCCCTGCCCATTGCCACTTCAGCTTGCTAATCCGTCGGGCTATGTCAGCGACTTTAGTTCGTTTATGGATATCGGATTACTCACCGTATATTGTCTCGTATAGTCCCCGCAAATAGCACGGGTTCTTGCCCCACCACAGCTATATGATCCCTCAAATGTCGCACGTTCATTTCCCTCAAGTCATGTCCTCCCGCCAACACCCCCCCTTGGTCCGGGTCATACATTCTCTGAAGCAGTTGTAGGACCGTCGACTTCCCGCAACCGCTCGGACCGACTAGCGCTATTGTTTCGTTCTTGTTTATCTTCAGACTTATACCGTTGAGAACCTAGAAAGGGGATATCGTTTTGATATTTTTTATACATGTTCCTACCTGACTATTTACGACACATCTAGCTGTGAGAAACTTAACAAGCTTAAGGCTGCGTTTCCACCAGAGATGTGCGAGGATGCGTAGCGAGAGATGTGTTTGTAAAGAACCAATAGGCGAGGTAAATGACGCGATTGTGGTTCTTTACAAACACATCCCTCGCTACGCATCCTTACACATCTCTGGTGGAAACGCAGCTTAATGCTTAGGCGAGATACACAAATGATCTTTATCATAAAGGAATTACAAATACGCTTTTACGTGTAAGAAATTGAGGCCTTAATGTGAACGGTTAATGCATTATTTTTTTTTTTTTTTATTTATTTATTTGGGACAAAAAACAGTCTTACAATGGGTCTTAGTCTAGATATCAGGCACATATGAGACACCTAATAAAATATCTGTTTGTTTTTTCCTTCAATCGTATCGTGACCAAACTTCAAAATAACAGACAGTATTACCAATTTACCTGAACATCAGGCCGTGCAGGGTACTTAAAGAACACATTCTTCAGCTCCAAGTCTCCAGTCAGCTCCGGTCGGAGTCCCTCCGTGGACAGACTGTCGATGGCCGGCTTTCTGTCCAGGACAGCGAATATGGAGCCGCCGGATGCCCTCGCCGCGTTTATGGCTTCCATATGGGGCGACGTCAGACCCATGTTTTGGGCGCCTTGGAGCACACTGAAGAAGATCTGGCGATGTTAATGGTTGTGAGTATCGTTCCTTATAGATGGTTGAATATATACAGGGTGGAAACAATAAGTGATCTCACTCGATTATTTCCAAACTATACAAGATATCGAAAAACTGGTTACTGATCCTGAAAGTGCTTCACGTTACAAAATAAACTGGATTTATGCAAAAATTCAACGTTTCCTCGATATCCTGTATAGTTTACAAATAATCGAGTTAGATATCGTGATCCTGTAGATATACAGGGTGGAAACGATAAACAATGGGATTAAATTTTCGGATTAATCCAGTTTATTGATGAGCTCGTGAAACACTTTTAGGATAAGTAACCAGTTTTTCGATATCTTGTATACTGGGTGTTAGGTAAATGGGTATATGAGCCGACATTATCCCATGTTAACATGGGCATATAAATGGTATGGTGAAGTCAGAATCAAGAAAATCGATTGGAAAGAAGACTTCACTTTGAATACAAATAAATGTTTACTCTAATCACCACAGACACAGAAGGGTTGAAATTAATGTTATTAAACTTAATTTGTTTGTAAGATTGCCACTTAATGCTGGCGTAGACGATACTATACGAAATTAAAATCATCATCATCATCATCATTTCACGCACGGACGCAGGCCGCTACTGATCGATCAACATGAAAAGCATTGGGGGAGGCCTATGTTCAGCAGTGGACGGCTCAAATTAATATATTTTTAAAGAACTTTTGACAAAATTAAATGACTCACAATCATCAGAACGGCCGGCGTGTAAACCGGCTGTGCCTCGTGCCTGCTGTCCAATATTAAGCCGACTCCGTACCAGAAGGACAGAGCATACGTGGCGTAAATGATGAACCACATCACGCCGCTGCCCAGTCCGGAATACACCCCCTTTTTGGTGCCCATCTTTTTAGCAGGTTCTAAGCGCGTACTGTATCTGTAAGGAAATAGAGATTTATTTTAAATGTCACAAAAGACTTTCTTTTAGACTTTTCTAATGACTCCTAGAATCCTGTCCCATTAAAAAATAAATCTCTGTAAACTTTAGAATATTTTGACGATAAGTGGTTTTTTTTCTGAGCCTGTGGCATCTTAGTCGTGTTTCGAGCAGAGTGGAATAGGTCCATCCCCACCCACACGTGGATATCGCAAAAGGTGCCTGAATAAGAGATAATATGTGAACATCATGCCTCTTCAACACTCTGACCAGTGCAGTGTGGGGAGTGTAGGCAAAATCAATGTCCGAATCCGTCAGAATACGGATCTGGTAAACTGGAACTAAAGTCTGTTCGTTGAGAGTTGATAAAAAAAAATATCAGAGGTTCTAAACTCATTATAAATTGCGGCCCGCTAATTATTTTTGTCGATATAATGAAAAAGTTGGTAGATTATTTGGCCTGGCCTTTTTTTTGGCCGGTTGACGACAGCTGCGTGGCTCGTACCATGGTACTCAGTGCGCGTTGTGACAAACGACGCCCGCCATACAGAATGCGATAATTAAGCGACAGTCGCTATTGCAAGACATTTCATAATATTTATCAACTCTCGGCGAACAGACTTTAGAGAAATGTACTTTGTGTTTCTTTAATGAGGGTTTTCGCGAATGAATGATCCGCTAGATGGCGGGACGTGGATGTGGGGTCTGACTGCCGCGTGATTGGTGGATTTTGGCATATCTGTCAATGTCATGTCAAAAATAACCAATCATGCAGCATTTGGACCTCGCGTCTACGTATTGCCATTTGGCGGATTTTTCATTCGCGAAAACCCTCATTGGTCTGTTTTTGTGTGCAATAAAGACTATCTACCTGTTTCTATCAATCTGCTGCAAACTCTATCACAATACCTTGTGATCTCCTTCTGTTCCCCGCCAAAAGCGATGACAGTCCGGATGGCTGACAGCACCTCTTCGGCGATGACGCCGGCCACGCTGTAGGCTTTCAGCTCTTGCGTGGTTAGCGACGATTGCACCTGGTGACGTGACAGGGAAATTAAAAATAACTTGAAAAAATCGAATTGCAAGAATGGGACTTTTCTATAACTGTGTACGTGACGTCCGAATTGGTATATGTAAATGGTTCAATCAGACCAATGACTTCATGCGCATTTGCTTAGTAAAATGTAAACAAAATCATGAGGTCTCACCTGAGAATCAAACCCAGAACTGTTTATAACTACTCGTGTATACAGTCTTTGGAGCAGATGATCGAGGCTCTCACTTTTATTTTAGGGTCAAGAACTAACATGTGTAGAAATTGGTTATAAATAGATCAGTTTTATTTCCTTTGGTAAGACTTAAAGTGTACAAAAATATACTTACCGCCTACGTAACTTTTGAAAATCAATTGATCATACCTTAGCCACGATAGCAGTTGTGATAATGATGACCGGAGCGCACGACAGGATGACAAGCGTGAGCTCCCAGCCGTAGCAGAAGGATATGATGACAGCTGTCACGAATGACATTATCAGGTACACCAACATAGGCACCTTCTCGCCAATCCCTTCTCTGTACTTTTCAACGTCACTGCAATAATTATAATGTATGAGTATAAAGATTGTTACTTAAAAACAAATAGAATTTCAGGTTTGTATTTATAAGAACTTACTCTGATACTTTGGTGGCGAAATTCATACTGGTGTTGAGGTCATACCACGTGATGTCCTGACGTAACACGGCCTGAAGGAACCTCTCTTTCATTCTGTCAATCTGGAAAAAGTTGTGCTCATTTTAGAGAAAGGTTAGAACTACTGCAGACATGCAAGTTTTTTAATATTTTCAGTCCACGCACCGGAAAACCGCGCGTATGACGTCCATCCACAAGGTGGGCTAACGACATCATAAAGGTAGCAGGAAGGCGTTGGACGCAGGCCACTACCAAAGGCAACATGGAAAGCATTGGGGAAGGCCTATGTTCAGCAGTGGACGTCCTATGGTTGAGATGATGATGACGATAAAATGCCAAACGCAAACGCAACGACGATGATGAGTCATCATCATCATTTTCAGGCATAGGACGTCCACTGCTGAACATAGGCCTCCATAACGATTTCCACAATGACCGGTTGGTGTCGGCCTGCATCCAGCGCCTTTCCGCTACCTTTATGTCGGTCCACCTTGTGGGTGGACGTCCTACGCCTCGCTTTCCGGTACGAGGTCTCCACTCCAGAACCTTGCTGCCCCATCGGCCGTCCGTTCTGCGTACCATGTGCCCTGTGCCGAACGCCTGCGAGTCCTCAATCAGCGCTGCCTTGTTCTCTCGGGGCGCGTTCGTTCTAGAATACAGATCGCACAGACCTGATTCATAGCTGCATAGTTGAACAGGTCCACGCTGATGGCCCCCACAATGAACTGCAGCACCGAGAACACCGCGCAGCTAATGCCGGACGCATCGTCATAATTTTCAACCATAGGACGTCCACTGCTGAACATAGACCTCCTCAACGATTTCCACAATGGCCGGTTAGTGGCGGCCTGCATCCAGCGCCTTCCTGCTACCTTTATGAGGTCGGTCCACCTTGTGGGTGGACGTTCTACGCTGCGCTTGCCGGTACGAGGCCTCCACTCCAGAACCTTGCTGCCCCATCGGGCGTCAGTTCTGCGTACCATGTGCCCTGTGCCGAACGCCTGCGAGTCCTCAATCAGCGTTGCCTTGTTATCTTGGGACGCGTTCCTTCTAGAATATAGATGGTACAGACCTGATTCATAGCCGCATAGTTGAACAGGTCCACGCTGATGGCCCCCACAATGAACTGCAGCACCGAGAACACCGCGCAGCCAATGCCGAACGCCTCATCATCATCATCATTATCAGGCATAGGACGTCCACTGCTGAACATAGGCATCCCCAATGATTTCCACAATGGCCGCTCGATGGTGGCCTGTATCCAGCGCCTTCCCGCTACCTTTATGAGGTCGTCGGTCCAACTTGTGGGTGGACGTGCTACGCTGCGCTTTCCGGTACAATGCCTCCACTCTAGAACCTTGCTGCCCCATCAGCGTACTATGGGCCCTGTGACGAACGCCTGCGAGTCCTTAATCAGCGCTGCCTTGTTCTCTCGGGGCGCGTTCGTTCTAGAATACAGATCGCACAGACCTGATTCATAGCTGCATAGTTGAACAGGTCCACGCTGATGGCCCCCACAATGAACTGCAGCACCGAGAACACCGCGCAGCTAATGCCGGACGCATCGTCATAATTTTCAACCATAGGACGTCCACTGCTGAACATAGACCTCCTCAACGATTTCCACAATGGCCGGTTAGTGGCGGCCTGCATCCAGCGCCTTCCTGCTACCTTTATGAGGTCGGTCCACCTTGTGGGTGGACGTTCTACGCTGCGCTTGCCGGTACGAGGCCTCCACTCCAGAACCTTGCTGCCCCATCGGGCGTCAGTTCTGCGTACCATGTGCCCTGTGCCGAACGCCTGCGAGTCCTCAATCAGCGTTGCCTTGTTATCTTGGGACGCGTTCCTTCTAGAATATAGATGGTACAGACCTGATTCATAGCCGCATAGTTGAACAGGTCCACGCTGATGGCCCCCACAATGAACTGCAGCACCGAGAACACCGCGCAGCTAATGCCGGACGCATTGTCATAATTTTCAACCATAGGACGTCCACTGCTGAACAAAGACCTCCTCAACGATTTCCACAATGGCCGGTTAGTGGCGGCCTGCATCCAGCGCCTTCCTGCTACCTTTATGAGGTCGGTCCACCTTGTGGGTGGACGTTCTACGCTGCGCTTGCCGGTACGAGGCCTCCACTCCAGAACCTTGCTGCCCCATCGGGCGTCAGTTCTGCGTACCATGTGCCCTGTGCCGAACGCCTGCGAGTCCTCAATCAGCGTTGCCTTGTTATCTTGGGACGCGTTCCTTCTAGAATATAGATGGTACAGACCTGATTCATAGCCGCATAGTTGAACAGGTCCACGCTGATGGCCCCCACAATGAACTGCAGCACCGAGAACACCGCGCAGCCAATGCCGAACGCCTCATCATCATCATCATTATCAGGCATAGGACGTCCACTGCTGAACATAGGCATCCCCAATGATTTCCACAATGGCCGCTCGATGGTGGCCTGTATCCAGCGCCTTCCCGCTACCTTTATGAGGTCGTCGGTCCAACTTGTGGGTGGACGTGCTACGCTGCGCTTTCCGGTACAATGCCTCCACTCTAGAACCTTGCTGCCCCATCAGCGTACTATGGGCCCTGTGACGAACGCCTGCGAGTCCTTAATCAGCGCTGCCTTGTTCTCTCGGGGCGCGTTCGTTCTAGAATATAGATCGCACAGACCTGATTCATAGCTGCATAGTTGAACAGGTCCACGCTGATGGCCCCCACAATGAACTGCAGCACCGAGAACACCGCGCAGCCGATGCCGAACGCCTGCGAGTCCTCAATCAGCGCTGCCTTGTTCTCTGCTCGGGATGCGTTCGTTCTAGAATGAGAAAATAGTCATTGATTAGGAACCATGAAAGTTGATCAGCCAGGAGAAAGATATGGTACCAAATTATTAGTCTTTGACACATAAATTAGTAAAAAACGTTTCTTGAGGGAGTTAATTGCAACGCTGAACTGAAACCCATAGATGCCACTTATGTAGAGTCGAACTTTAATTCGAAGATAGTGTGCGCATTGGAGAAAAAAAATGCGATGTTTTTGCAATGATGATTACTGTTGAATATAAAGCGATCTTAAGTATTTGCCATAAAGCAACAAAAAACAAGTGCGCTAAAATGTTTTCAGATTCTTTCCAGCCGGGATTTTCAGTTTGTTTTCTAAATTCTAATGTAACCCAACCCAACCAGTGAAGGTTGCGTAGTCTCAAAGGATAGCTTTCTGTCTTTAAACTCGCAACAAATTAAATCAGAAGAAGAGAGGAGCTTGAAATAATAATGACTAAAAGACGGCAGTATCGAACAATAAGGTGCACTCACAAGATCCTTCCACCACCGAACATCGATATGGTTATAGTCGGCGTGGAGGTGCCAGTCATCACTGTCCGGTCGATCAGCAGCGACGTGAACTCGCCGTAGACTATCACACCTATTGGCACAAATAGCCCGTTCAGGGAGGCCATGAGCACACCGATGAACAGCATGAACAGCTCGCATGGTTTCGCGAATCTGAACTGTAAATAAAAAATTGTAGTAGTTTTTGGCCAATAATTAAGTTATATGTTAATCTGAAAGCATGTTTTCGTTCCGTTTCGTTTCGTTTCAACCAAATGACGTCCACTGCTGGACAAAGGCCTCCCCCAAGGTATTCCATAATGAACGGTTCTGCGCTGCCCGCATCCAGGCTCTTCCCGCGACCTTTACCAGATCGTCGGTCCACCTAGTAGGAAAGCATGTTTTATGTGGGTGATAAAAGTAAAAAAAAGTCGCATTTGTTTACCTGGGTGAATCAATTCCTAGGTGAACAAAGGCGATCGCTTTAGTCGAATCATTTCACTTGGGTGATATGGTTCTGAGGTGATATGAGGACACTAAAATTTCGCACAGCAGAGGGAGCAAATCGCATAAAATGTCGCAAAAAATTTAACAAAGTTGGCTCAATTTAGTGCTGAAACAGATCCGAAATACTGAACGAACATATTTTCAGGAGATCCACCGCGGTTTATCGGTGAAGTTTTGTCTTGTCAAATACTTGAAAATAAAAAAAGCGTTTACTACTAGCTCTATTTCCAGATAAAACTGGCTCAATTTGGTAACAGGCCAAGACTGGCAAAATGCCAGCATCCTCCATCCTTACTAGACAAATCTAACATGAATACACAGCAGTGTAAATACACAATGGTCAATAGCAATAATAAGTAATTTGATATCAACCACGTTCTCATATTTATACTTTTCAAAACATCTTCGAATTGTGCCTCATCTGGGAATCAAACCCAGGGCTTCCAGATCGAAAGATTCCCACTCACTAAGTAATCATGTAATCAAGTGATATAGTGGTCATAGAGGCGTTTGCCAGTAAATCGATTTAAATACTCGGACACAATAGCAAAATCGATTATTTACGGTTACCACGATTCCGCGACTATTGGCGAACTAATGCTTACATAGTACAACTTCTTTTTCAAACACTTCACATAATGAATCTTAATTTAAGTACTTACTAGTTTGAACCAGGATGAAGGTGGCGAATTGTTTTGGAGTTCGTCTTCGCTGTAAAAAAATACACAATGCTAGTTAAACTCGTCAAAAAGACAACATACACGTAATAAATGACACAGTACCATCAGAAAAGAATAGTACTGTTTTTCAGAAAATAAGGATATAATTATGTACTTGAGTATTCGTACGTAACGAATCATTGGTGCTTTCATAAAAAAAGCTTAAATTACGCGCTGAAAAAACACTAAATAGATCGCACGCCCATCGCATCGATAGCGTCAAGCCACCAAATCCTCTGAATCAGTGGCAAGGTGTAAATGAGGATCCTGGGTTTGTTAGAGGCCTAGAGTGAGGTGTCTATCATTCTGCTCACTTATAAATTAGTGTCAAAGTTAATGTGCACTTACTACGCCTCCCTAAGCGCCCTTTCTGCTAAATACGCGGAGTGTTGAGCAAGCTGCCTGATAGTAATCGAGTTGGAGCGCAGCGGCACCGACAGCACCAGTATCTGCTCGCTGTATCTATAGACTAGTTATAAATTAGTGTCAAAGGAAATGCGCACTTACTACGCCTCTCTAAGCGCCCTTTCTGCTAAATACGCGGAGTGCTGAGCAAGCTGCCGGATAGTAATGGAGTTGAAGCGCAGCGGAACCGACAACAATCTGCTCGCTGTACTCTACTTACAAATTAGTGTCAAAGGAAATGCGCACTTACTACGCCTCCCTAAGCACCCTTTCTGCTAAATACGCGGAGTGCTGGGCAAGCTGCCTGATAGTAATAGAGCTCGAACGTAGCGGAACCGAAATCAATTTGCTCGCTGTATAATAATCTACTTACTTCTAAAGTAGTGTCAAAGAAAATGCGCACTTACTACGCCTCCCTAAGCGCCCTTTCTAAATAATCGTAATCGAGTTGGAGCGCAGCGGAACGGAGAGCAATCTGCTCGCTGTATAAAATCTATTTATAAAATAGTGTCAAAGGAAATGCGCACTTACTACGCCTTCCTAAGTGCTCTTTCGCTTAAATACGCAGAGTGCTGGGCTAGCTGCCTGATAAAAGTTGGAGCGCAGCTAAACGGACAGCACCGGTATCTGCTCGCTGTATAATAATCTACTACTTGTATTAGTGTCAAACAAAATGCGCACTTACTACGCCTCCCTAAGCGCCCTTTCTGCTAAATACGCGGAGTGCTGGGCAAGCTGCCTGATAGTAGTCGAGTTGGAGCGCAGCTGAACCGACAGCAATGTGCTCGCTGTATAATAATCTACTTACTTATAAATTAGTGTCAAAGGAAATGCGCACTTACTACGCCTCCCTAAGAGCCCTTTCTGCTAAATACGCGGAGTGCTGGGCAAGCTGCCTGATAGTAATGGAGTTGGAGCGCAGCGGCACCGACAGCACCGGTATCTGCTCGCTGATGCTGTGCCGGCGCGGTACCCTCGTGAAGCTCTTTAAGGAATCATCGCGTTTCATTCTCGGGTCAACCGATCTGGAAAGAAAAATTGAAAATAATCAACTTTGCAGTAATATTTATTACTACCGGCCGCCCGGCCGCCTGCGCCTAAGCTGCGCGTTCATACGCGCGGATGTCTACACCCTATAAGGAACCTACCTGCCACAAGTTACCAGATCAGTATTATCGTATAAATATCCGAAAATTTTGGAGTAAAATACAGACACAGAAACTATTATAGGTAGTCCTAGAATATCCTGAACAAATATTATTTATTATTACTAAAACGTGTTATATATCTTAGTACTTACGAGTACTATAATACCAACCAACCTCCCACTTTTTTCACATTATCACGTTATATTGTCACTCCGACGACTACTAATCATCATCACAAAGATACGTGAACTAAAAGCAGATTTTATTATTATTATTTTGTCTAATGGCTTCAATGGTGCGAACTTGTTTGATTACAAAATAATGACTGACGACTTTTTGGCGGATTTCAAATGACGTTTATATTTTTTTTCTGAACTAAATCAAAACTTTATAGAGATCAAAAGGTTTTATAACATTTTTATTTGCAGGACGCGCTTTTTCCGAAGACTTCCAAAGAAGCCAATATAAAACGTGAAACCCGAAAATGTCTCATTATGCGAGTTTGAATAAAGTTTTAAATTATTCAAACCCACGACAAAACAACAAATCTCGAGGAGTGTGCTTATTCGGTTATTCCTTGAAATTAGAGAAAGGGTCATGGTCATTAGAAGAGAAAAATTTTAATAAGTATTTTTTATGGATCCTGCCTGTTTGATACTACTGACTGCCAGGTCAGCTAGCAGAAAATAATAACGCTGGAAATAAATATTGAAAGAAAGAAAGAAAGAAAGAAAGAAAGAAAAACATTTATTTGGTACCAAAAAATTAAACAATAAGTACAAAGTAATTGCGAGAAAACTTACAAAATATTACGGGAAAATAGTTATTGATTACAGTTCCTTGAAAGCTAAATATTATATGACTGTAAACAGAATACCACGGTTGAGTCATAGTTGCGTTTATAATGTGTATTGTTGTGGAAAACAATTAAGTTTATTCATAACTAAAACATTCTAAGAAAGCTGAATCCAATAAACCTAACCTACCTACATTCTGATTTGATTTCAATTTGAATAGTCACAAAGCCACCCCCTCAAATAAACAAAGAAAATGAAACTTATTGCGACATGTTAATTAATTGTAATTACTTACCTAGGTATTAAATAAAAGGTGCGATTTTGCAAAAAAAAAAAAGTAAACGAGTTAACGATATTTGTCCTACTAACCAAAATTCCACTGCTTATCTTATTGTCTTGGAGTCTCTAATTAAAATTATGTTCGAAACTTTATACATTCGCTAAACTTGCTCGATATAGCGAACGTCGATTACGCTTGCTGCATTGCGGTGTTTAAGAGCTGTCTACAGAAGAGACTTGTAAACTTGGGAGCGGCCTCTTATTTTTAAGTGGTTAATAAAAACACAATTAAGCATTTTTTATGACTCTACTTGTGTAACCTTTTTGTAGGCTTGCGACAAAAACTAGGCTGTGAGAATATCGTGAAGCAAAACTCATGATGAATCTACACTAGATAGGAATAGATACAGCCTGATGATTGGTCTAAATATAGAAACCTGAGTAGTTCGAAGAGTTGCAAGACATGTTTCAGAATAAGCTTATAAAAAAGCTTACTGAAAAGTTTCATTATTGTACTCTGAGCTGTAAACGACGACAAAAAAATGTTAAACGTAGGCTCTCGTGTCTACTCTATGCTATTCGTAGCCGTAGCGGCTATGTTGCTGAAAACTATGTACATAATTGTGTACATTTATGTGGTAGTTACTACACGTACATACCAACAACTTGCACCGTGAACAATGCGTGAAAAAATATTGACGCGCGTATTTTCGGGCTTATTAAAATGTAGCCATTTCGTAGTTATGTAGCAAAGTCACGGACTACGAAATTGCTACGGAATTCCATAGTAAGTTCTCGTAGTTCGTTTATGTGTTCGTTCACATACTGAATAATTCTAGCTCATAATCGAAATTGCACTTTCTTTTCAGGAAGGAGAACCTAAAGTGGAATGGTCACGATCCAATAACAATCTTTTCTTCTATTTTTGGCCCGGATGTTAGATTAGTCGCAGGTTCGTAGGTCGACAGGGTCAAGGTCACAGCGTTTATTTAGCCTAAGCAGAGACCACCGACTTTTTGTCGGCCGATAGTTGGGCCCGATTTTAATTTGTATGAAGAATCGGCCGATAGCAAATCGGTATAATGTGCGCACTTTCATACATCTCCATACTGATTAACAGCCCGACCCAACTATCAGCTAACTAAAAATCGGTGGCTTACCAATAAATATTTATGCGTACTAATATTGTCTGTCTGTCACGCTTTCACGCCTAGAAGCGATTTTGATGAAATTTGGAATAAAGATAGTTTGAGTCCCGGGAAAGGACATAGGATAGTTTTTATCCATTGAAGTAATATTACTACGTAGTACATTATAGGTAACTCAATGTTTTATCCCGGTTTTTGAAACAGGGACGCGCGCGATAAGGTTTTTCTGTTACAGACAAAATTCCACGTGGGTGAAGCCGCGGGCAAAGTAAGTTGATAATATTCCGTTGTATTTACAGAAACATAAAATTACTGAGATGTAGCGTTAGCAGCGCTTGCTTAGCATGCGAAGTACCGGGATCAATACCCGATCCAGTCAATTTAAACTGCCTTAAATTACAAGCTTAATGATGTTTAATAGAGTTGTTTATTTGTTTTATCGGATAGAGACATTTTTCTATCGCTTTTAGTACAGGATTAATGGAGTTATGACCTCAGATATATCAATGAGTTAGGCATGTAAGGTAATAAATAAGTTTGTTGGAGTTTTACTGCAAAATGTATGTTATCTATGTCACGTCTTCATTGTAAAACAAGTAGGTAATTAGTAATAAATTACTTCTTCTAAGGATTTTTTATTAGGTAAAAAATTGTACTAAGCCACTTTTACTCTTAAACTAACTGATCTAACGTAACCGTTGTAGTTTTCCTTGAAAGTTCATGAAAAACACTATTAATATGATTTTTTCCAGATTTTTCAAGTCAACAGTTTAGTTTTTAGAGGGGGGGGCGGGTCGACGGGACGAGACGAGTGAAGGACCTTAAAAAAAGGAAAGGTCTTTTCGAATCTAATTTTGCCGTGTAATCTCAGGATGATGTAAATAAAAGTCTATCGGTACACATGCCTACATGCCTATCGGTAGAGTTTAGTAGTGTATGGCTTTAAAGTTTAGAAGTAGTAGTGATCTAACTGCCATTTTACTATTAGTTAGCTATCTGACATGCATTATGTCTAATCCATCCAAGCTAAATATGATTTGAATTACAAAGCCGAGTATCCAAGTTCGGCCAGGTCTAGAGGCATTATGCTCGGAGGCGGCTCTTTCTGGATCTTTTTTTCAATAGTTATTAAAATTTCTCAGCGATTAGAGTCGCTTCTGAAACTTAATTATAAATAAATAACTTGAAAAAATCGAACTGCCTAAGGCGGGAATGGAGCCCACGACCTTTCGCTTGCCGGGCGACTGCTCTTCAAATTTCTTTCTTTCCAATTTTGGAAAAAAATATAATATTCACGCACGGATGTGACTTTTTCAAGTGCCTCTTGTGTACCGGCGTAATAAACTCGACCAAAAACAAACATACTGTCTGCTAGTACTGGATCCACAAACATCGGTTATCTGTCAATGATATGGTACAGCAAATAGTAATTAACTATCGAATGATACTGATACAAATAAGGAATTAAGCGTTTTCTCTTTCTGGAATTGAATGACGGCAATATAATTTTAAAAGATAAATAGATTTATTTATAATCTTAACAATAACTTTTAAACCGCGACTCTACCATAGATTTCGTAAGTCAAGAATTACTTATTGAAAACTCAATAGATTAACTTCATATCTTCATAGATTAACTACATATTTATTGATTCTGATACATATTTATTGACCCTGAAAATCTAAGTTTAAAAATTCCTGAAAATCTTTTGATAGTTTTCATCAATTTACGATGAAAACTAATTTGATTTTCATGGATAGATTGGTCAATGACGTCAACTTATTTAACAAAGAAACAGTTACATCTACCTACGTAATACTTGGCTGTATAAATGATCGAGATCTTGTCATAAAATATTAACGAAGTAACTTTAATTTGCCATAGAAATGATTAATCACAGTAGTGAGTTAATGGATTGGACAAACATGAGTAAGTTAACTAATGAAGGCGTTAATTAATTTTCTAATGAAATCTGTGAACGTGTCTAATTATATTTAACGTGTCGTAACGATTATGCAGGGGTTCCCATCGACGTAAAGTAGTCAGAACGCCTCTGAAGCCCTATGGTTAGAGTTGAACTTGGAAATTCAGGGATCGATTCCTACATGAAGTAGGTGTACATAGTACGGTCACTAAATGCAGTTTTTGATCTCAGTTTTGTTAAGATATTAATGCAGATTGTATCTATCCGATTGTCATATAGGTAGGTCTGATTGAGCGTGTAGGACGCCTATGGTTATAAAGTCTGATCCCATTTGCAACATGTCATAACAATATGAGAAGACCTAATACAACTGCATGCAATGCTAGATTAGCCGTTCCGTACAAGAAGTGGGTGGGTATATGGCAACGGCTACGGTGGCCAGTCAGATCCAGGTATCCCAAATGAACTAGATACAACTGTCCCTAAAACAAGCGAAACATTATTCCAGAGGCATGCACCAGATAAATCAGACATGTCCTATATCTCGTTCATTAATTAGATTTAGATCAAGGGCCAGACGAGTACAGTTAAAACGGGACACTATCAGACGCCAAGTGCGTTTGCCAGTGGGACTATTATTAAGGTGCAATAATCGGTGTATTGTGAACCGTATGACTCGGTGATAGTGTGCGCGAAAGTCTGAATGAATTGTGTTGTCTTGTATTAGG